ATGTTAGCATTACGCGTGATGTTAGCATTACGCGTGATGTTAGCATTACGCGTGATGTTAGCATAACGGAGTGATGTTAGCATCACACATTACTCGCGTGATGCATCGCTCGGAAACAGTACGCGCGTGATGCATTACCCACGTGATGTATAACCTGAAACAGTACGCGTGATGCTATTATTACAAAGTGATGTTTATACTCTAAGTAATGCAAGTGATGTTTATAGTCTAAGTAATGCGAGTGATGTTGTAATAGTAACATCACGGAGTGATGTTTGTTTAAGAGACATCTCATGTCATAGTCATATTACGCGAAATGCAATGTAAATGCATCTAATTTGGAATATTGTAGTATAAAGATGTTTGTATTAGTACCCCATTTATTTAATAACTTACTAGATGGTATAATCTAAATAAACCGTAGACAATTTAAACTGAAATTGCATAATTTGTTATTCAATGCTTGATTAAATACAATATTACAATATTTTGATTTTTTTACTTGGTAACCTAGAAGGAGATCGATACGCTTTCATACAACTTGGTCAAGATGTAAAAAGTTGAAGGTAATAATAATAAATAGCTGATGTATTGTTATATCATCACTGGAAATTCTACGAAATTTGGCGATCTGAGAGCACAATTATAAGAGATTTAGTAAAAGTGAGGTTATGTAACAACTTATAATAAAATTAACAGCTGATTTAAGAAGTATATTTGTTATTTTTTTATATACAGGGTTATTTTATAAATAGTAACGATAACATAGGACTATATTACCTACTGACATGACAGACAACTTTCGTTCCATGACTTTACAAAACATAATTTACCAAAAATAAACTTTTAAGTTTTTGCTGTACTATCTGACACCGTTTAGGTCTGTATCTGGTTGTAAGTTTAAACAAACAAACATCCTCAAAGACGACCCCTACCCGCGCTCCTGCTTTTTGCAGAGTTACTTTATTACTGTTTAGAGCGATCTATTTCAAAATTTTTATTTTTGTATGAATGTAAAGTGTGATGAAATATAAAGTTATGGAACTAAAGTTGTTAGTAATAAAGTCCTGCGAGGTTGTTAATATTTTACAATATTTGTAAAATATAACCTCACAGGACTATATTACTAACAACATAAGCAAAAACTACTTTGGTTCCACAGCTTTTAATAATTCATCACATATAACAACCATAACTATCTATACAGGGTATAACCCTTATATATTTGTAGAGTTGGAGGATGTTATGAAATTCAAAAGATTACCAGGTAAGGATGTGACGTTTAAACAGAAAAACATTTTTTCAAATAATTTTTTATTTGATTTCAATTATATTTCAAATCACCTATTCTAAGCTTCATCAAATATGCTGCTAATATGCTTGCTTTGCTGTAAGTCTGGTACATAATTAGACCACAGACTGTCTAAAAAATCCCATGCTTCAATAATCAAATGTCAATCACAAAGACAACTATTCTCAGCGATATAATATTTCACTCTGTACTCACTGTTGTCTGGTATCTTTCAATAAAGCACCTACTTCCGTGTCTATAGCTCTCATGTAGTCTGGTAATACAATAGTAGGTTCAAGTTGTTAGTTTCTAACTTTTTAATTTGGAGGCTCAGTGGGAAGTGAGAAGTTAGTGAATAAGGTCCAGCTGCGGGGTCCACTATTACAGGTACGGAGCACAATGAAACACGTCAGTTCGGTATAGCGTTTACTGGGCGAGAGAGATACATCAGTTTCGTTCTACCTTCTATAATAAATCTTATAACCTACTTAAAACTACCTACGGTTACATACGTCACACCTCCACCCTTAATTACTACTACACTAATTACCTTAACTACAGCTTTATATAAGCACAACTATAAAACTAACATTTATGAATCTTAACTAACTTAAATTATATCTTAACTAACTTAATCAAACTCCCAGCCATATCTTTTAACGGGATTTCGGGTCCGTTGGGGTCGGCCCACCGGGGGTGCAGGTGGTTCTTCAGGAATAACGACCGTGCATGTGGTATCGACCGGGTTAGGTTAGGTTAGGTTAGGTTGCCTGTGGTGCCACTGAGCACAGAGACTTACGCGGCTCTACGGTAGTCGATACCTCAGCAGCATCGGATCTTGCTACGGCATCCTGACCGCTGGCCACCTCAGGTGGGGTCTCCACCGCTTCCGACAGGGCCACGCCATAGCTACTACGTCTTTTCTTTATTTGATCCACATGTCTTTTTATAGGTGGACCATTCCCCCTACTAATCACGAAGTTGCGAGAGCCTACTCTTTCCTCGATCTGACCACCTAACCACCTTCCTCCCGTAAAATCCCGTGCCCACACGGTGTCCCCTACATCAAAATTCCGCAGCGAGCCCCCCGCGTGAGAAACTTGTTTACGCTGAGCATTCTGTACCTTGCCTTCCACCTGCCTATCTCCCCTCAATAAGTCTAGTCTAGATCTTAAGCTCCTACGTTGCAAACGCATTGCAGGCGACGCTCCCGTGGAGCTGTGTTCTACGTTCCTGTACATCATGAGGTATGCCTGCAGAGCAGCGTCTACTTCGCAGCCGTCTCTCCGCGACTTCTTTATCGCCCGTTTGCGCAGATTAACGGCATTTTCCGCGGCTCCATTGGACGATGGGTGATACGCTGCTGTAAACGTAATTTTTATTCCGTTTGTTACCATAAAATCGGCATATTCGCGACTAGTAAACGGTGGTCCGTTGTCGGATACGACTTCTTTTGGCAAACCAAACCGAGCAAACGTCTCGCGGAGTACTTTAATGACTGCCTCTGCCGTCGTTTGTTTCATTTTAAATATTTCCAACCATTTGGTGGTGGAATCAATAATAATTAAAAATGTTTCGCCGTGTAATGGCCCTAAGAAGTCGATATGTAACCGTGACCACGGCTCGACGACGTGCGGCCACGGCTGCGGCGGCACCCGCGGGGGCGCCGTGCCCTCCAGTGCGCACGTCGTGCACTGCTTGGCCCAGCTTTCAATACTACTGTCGATTCCGGGCCACCAAATTATGCTTCTGGCGATGCTCTTCATTTTGACAATGCCTAAATAGCCTACATGCAATTCTTTCAATAAATTTTCCCTTAAAACATCAGGTATTACCAATCGATAACCCCAAATAATACAGCCCATCTCTATATAAAATTCGTTACGCCTAAGAAAATACGGCTTTAATATTTCTTCCTTGCAGACCACCGGCCACCCGGACTGTACGTAAAAGTACACCTTTTTTAGTACGTTATCCTTGCTGGTCTGTTCCTGAACAGTTTTCCTCGTAATGGGAAGGAAATTTTGAATAAAATTCAAGTACATCGATTCTTTGCCTTGTCGTTTCTCTTTTCCTACGGGCAATCGTGACAACGCATCCGCGGCGTTATTTTCGCTACGCACATACTCGATACTATAATCGTAGCCCGCCAAAATTACCGCCCACCTCTGCAACCTACTGGCCGCCATTACCGGGATTCCAGTCTTATTCCCGAAAATGGTCACCAATGGCTTGTGGTCCGTGCGCAATATAAATTTCCTACCGTAAAGATATTGGTGAAATTTACGTGCGCCGTAAATGATAGCGAGCGCCTCCCGTTCTATTTGTGAATAGCCTTTCTCGGCTGCATTCAGGACCCGCGACGCGTAGGCTATTGGCCGCTCGGCGTCGTCGCCGTCCGCGCCCGCCGCGAGGTGGGAGATCACGGCGCCCACGCCCGTCGCGCTCGCGTCCGTCGTCAGCACGAGAGGCAGCTCGGGAGAGTAGTGTGCTAAGACATCGCTAGAAATCAACATTTCTTTCACCTTTTCGAACGAACGGGCGCAGTCTTCACTCCACTCGTACTTGACTCCTTTCCGTAACAACGTGTACAGTGGGCCTAAGATGGTGCTTATATTGGGTACGAACTTCGCGTAATACATTACTAGTCCAAGGAAAGATCGCAACTCGGACACGTTTGCCGGCGCTGCTACCTTTTTTATTGCTTCGATCTTATCCGGACACGTATGCACACCCCGTTTGCTTATAGTGAACCCTAAGTACGTAACGGAATCTGCGAAAAAAGTGCATTTGTCTCTTTTTATCCTCAAACCGTATTTTTGCAACCTATCAAAAACTTCATGCAACGTATTTAAATGCGACCGGTCGTCTACCCCTGTGATAATTAAATCATCTAGAAAAACCCCCACCCGTGGCATATCCGAAAACAGCTGTTCTAGTTTCCTTTGAAAAATGCCCGGGCTCGACGCTAGACCATAAATTAGCCTGTTGTACATGAAAAGCCCTTTATGCGTGTTTATCACCGTGTACTTTTTAGAATCGTCTAGCTCGAACTGTGCGTAAGCTTGTGATAAATCAAGCTTCGTAAATTTCTCTCCCCCGTGCAACTTCGTGAGCAGGTCTTCGACCTTCGGTAACGGATAGTGATCCACCTCTAGACACTTATTTAAAGTCAATTTATAATCGGCGCATACCCTTATGGAGCCATCTTTCTTAATAACCGGCACAATCGGTGTGGCCCAGTCGGAGGTGGTGACCGGCGTCAGGATTCCGTCGCGCACCATCTGCGCCAGCGCGCGCTCCACGGGCTCACGCAGCGCGTACGCCAGTGGGCGCGCGCGAATAAACGCGGCCGCGCGTCGGCGCGCAAATGGAACCCGATCTTTCCCCCGGTGAACCGGCCCAAGCCCTCCGCAAAGACATCACAGTATCTGGAACTGAATTCCGCCTCGCAAAATACTCTATTTACATTGCCAATTTTATTACAAGCTAACATTAATATATTTATTTTTAACTCATTAATCCAACCTCTGCCTAACAAACTTGTTTTACCACTTTCGATTATATACAAATCTAATTGTTTACATACATTCCCGTATTTAACTTTAGGTGCAATTTTCCCTAACGGTTTTACCATTTCACCTGTATAGTATCGCAATACTAAATTGTAATTTTGCAACACACAATGCGACAATAATTTTTGATAACAGTCTAAACTTATGCAAGAAATTGCACTACCCGTATCTACCTCCATAGTCAATGATACTCCGTCGATGGAAACATCTACCGTGTATGGTGCAAACAATTTTGACTGATTTGTATTTAAAGAAAAGTTGTTTACCTCTTCGCTATCGGTGCTATCGGCGTCATCTATAGACCCCGACTTTATCCCCGTAATATTGTATAGTGATGATTTGCCGTTCAATTTAGGACACATCCTCTTCAAGTGCCCTTCTCGATTACACAGCCGACAAACATATATTGTAAATTTACATGATTCAGACTCGTGTTGGTTTCCACACACTTTACATTCCGGTCTATAATACGTGGTATTATTCCGCCCGGTATTACGGAACTTCCCGCTTCCCGCTCCGCTTGTGGCGCTTGAGCCCCCGCCGGCCATGCGCCCGACCGCGGTCGCCGCTAGCCTCGCCCCTCCCGCGCCCGCGCCGCTGCTGCGCGCGTTGCTGCCGCTGGCCCCCGCCCGCGCCGCTCTCCGCTCGCTCGTCTCAACTGATGCACCGAAGCCACCGCGCCCATTGGTACCCTGTCACCGGTTCGATTCCTGGTACAGTCCTCTACCATGGCCGCATTCGCCTCGGCCGCTTCCATTGACACCGCAATTTTATACGCTCTGTCGAACGTGATCGTGTCGTCTTCCGTAAACAATTTTTGTCTAATGTCCTCATTTACTAGTCCGCACACAAATTGGTCCCTTAAATTTTCTTTTAAACTGTCCGCCGAGAACCCGCAGTGTTTACTCAATTTCTGAAGATCGGTCACGAAATGTGCTATCTTTTTGGTAGTCAAAGTCAAAGTCAAAGTCAAAGATTATTTATTCCATAGGTAAAATAAATTTACACTTGAAAACGTCACATTTAAGCTACTGCTCGTTCACTACGCTGACCTCCCTGAGAAGAACGAGCAAGAAACTCTAGGGATTGCTCTTTTCAAATAAACTTAAATGCTATGGAATACACTTTGAATCAAATTTGTGTGGATTCTGGAGCCATGTCGTCTTTCCATACATCTTTATCTAACACGTAGTCTTCAATTTTGTAATATGATTTTTCGATCAAAATATTTTTAATGTAGTTTCTAAACTTAGGAAATGATAAACTTAATATATGCTCCGGAATCTTATTGTAAAAACGTATACAGTTCCCCATAAAAGAGTTGTTTACCTTGGTTAAACGAAATCGTGGTACCATGAGTTTGGACTTAGCTCTAAGGTTAATATTATGGATATCTTCTTTCTTATTGAAATTATGTATATTTTTACGGGCATATAAAATATTTGAGTAAATGTACTGTGATGCCACAGTCATGATACCAGTCTCCTGAAACTTTTCTCTGAGAGATACCCGAGAGCCTAGACGGTACACAGAACGAATCGCTCGTTTTTGCAATACAAATATGGTTTGAATATCTGCCGCTTTACCCCACATGAGAATCCCGTAGGACATTATACTATGGAAGTAACTAAAGTAAACTAATCTAGCAGTACTAACATCGGTAAGCTCACGTATTCTGCGGACTGCGTATGCAGCGGAGCTTAATCTGCTGGCCAGGGACGATATATGTGGAAACCACTGAAGTTTACTATCTAAGGTCACTCCCAAGAAGACTGCTTTATTAACAAGGTCTAACTTTTCTCCGTTTATTTCTATGGTTGGACTAGTCGATTTTACGTTAGGTAATTCAAATTTAACACATTTTGTCTTCTTGGCATTAAGCAATAAATTGTTAGCATTAAACCAATAAACTACCTTAGAGAGGGTATCATTAATACGGTCATAGTTATTGTCATGTCTGTCTGTTTTAAAAATCAAGGATGTGTCATCAGCAAACAACACTATTTCGCAATGGTCCTTAACAAAGAATGGCAGATCATTAATATAAATCAGAAATAAGAAAGGTCCAAGTATTGAGCCCTGCGGAACACCCATTTTTACTGGAGAACCCAAAGAAGTCACTCCATTTATGTCTACTATCTGAATTCTACCGTTGAGATATGACGAGACAAGTTTCGACGCCTTGCCATTTACACCGTAATGTTCCAGCTTCCTAATAGTATTATGATCAACGCAATCATATGCCTTTGAGAGGTCACAGAAAACACCAATAGCGTTCTGGGACCTTTCCCAAGCATCAAAGATGTGTTTTAGTAACGCTACCCCCGCATCGCTAGTCGATCTACCACTAGTAAACCCGTATTGTTCACTATGAAAAATATGATTCCTACCGAAATAGGACAGTAATTGAGTTAGCATAACCTTTTCGAATATTTTACTTAAAGCTGGTAAAATTGAAATGGGCCTATAGTTGCTAGGATCAACTTTCCCACCGGTTTTGAATAAGGGAATAACTTTGCTGTATTTCATTAAATCGGGAAAAACACCTTCGTCAACGCACCTATTGAAAGCTACAGCTAAATGTGGGGAAATGAGATTAATAACTGAGTCTATAACTTTAGTTGATATGCCCCAGAGATCTTCAGTTTTTTTAACATGTATTGACTTAAAAGCTTTTATGATGTCTTGTGGATTAACATGACGAAAATTAAATAAACTGCCACAAACGTTAACATTTTCCTTTAAGAGATCAATAGCAAGTGAAGGGGAGGAATTTAATGATTTTGTAGTGTTCACAGCAATTTCCGAAAAGAACGATTCAAAAGCTTGGGCTACTTTATCTTTACATTTTATAAGTTTGCTGTCTAATTCTAAAACTATATCTCTATCCTGTGGTTTAACCCTGCCTGACTTTATTTATTATGCTCCAAGTAGTTTTAGATTTATTTATCGATTGTCTAATTTTGTCGCTGTGAAACTTAACCTTAGCAGCTACACAAACTTTTTTAAATATTTTCGAATAAATTCTAACATATTCTATGAAATTGGAATTATTATTATAAGTTTTCATAGCATATAGCTCATACAAACGAGACCTACTCTTATGAATACCTACTGTTGCCCAGTCGTTGAATTTAGTCTCTCTATGGAAAGTTAATGTTTTCGATTTAAATATATTGTCAAATTCATTTTTAATTAAACCAAATATCGTGTTATATAAAGTATTTGGATCCTCCGGTATATGGGATAGGGAATTTAAACTAATGCCGATATTATTTTGAAATCTAATTATTCGTTCTGTGGTAATCGGTCTGCAGAGAAATTGGTCTACCTTCTTGCTCATTTTACAATTAAAAGAAGCCAATTGGCCACTATGGTCGGATCTTAAGCAATTTATTATTGATTTAGACACTGCGTCTGTGTTACAAAAGATGTTATCAATACAAGTAGAAGAGGAGGCAGTAATGCGAGTTGGTTCTAAAAAAAGATTAATCAAGTTAAAACTTTGAAATAAATTAATGAGTCTTACAGAAGTAGAACAGTTTTCCAACAGGTTTACATTGAAATCTCCACATATTACTACGTTTTTTTTGGTTGGAAAAATCCGCTTTAAACTGTCTTCCATAATTAATTCAAACTCGTTAAAATTAGCAGAGGGGGGCCTGTATACGCATAAGACGACAAACTGATCCAATTCCACACATGAAATTTCAATAGTTCGTTCAGTAGAAAGATTTGTGATATCCTTACGCTCTTTAAATTTTAAGTTACGCTTAATAATAATCATGGATCCGCCTCTACTTAAGCTCTTTCTTATGAACGAACTGACTATTACATAATTTTCTATATTGTTAATGGCTTCGTAATCTTTCAGCCAGTGTTCTGTAACACAAAACACGTCAACGGAAATATCGTGCAAAAAAGACTTATTTCTAATGTTTTGCCAGAAAAGCCTTGAATATTTTGATGTACTACATGGAAACGATTAGACTTTTTTGTTGTCGTGTTTTTCAGTTTAAATTATGGTTAGTAAAAAGTATACGATTGCTACTTAAAGTAGGAGCATTGTCGTGGGACTGTGTTATATCTTCTATAACAGCGTCCTTAATATTAAAAGATAGCAAACTAGCTATATGTCTTAGATACCTTAGGGGTAAAAGTAAATTATCCTCAAAAAGTTTGAAGTTCCTTACGAACTTATTAATGTCAAAACAAAATATAACGTCACTATGACGGCAAGTCAAATTATGAATATGCGAATTTATGTTATATATATACTTATTACGAGCGATGCCTAGGTTAGAGCAGTAAGGGAATGCACTTAGTATGAATTTACCCACACTTCTCATGAATTCTCAAGAACACGTCAATGCTACTATTTACTTCTTTTTTACTAATGTTAGTACTATCACCTAATATAAGAATCACTGTTGTATATTTATCAAAGTTGCAATCACTTAACAGTGTAATAATTTGACTAAAAGTAGCTCCTGGATAGCAATAGTTGATTGAACGCGCCTCCTAAACTTGAATCGTTCAGCTAATAAACTGGGTT